GGTACTTACTCAAGTAGATTTAAGCTAGTGAGATTCCAGACCAATTCTTAGATCATTGTTCTTCCTTTCTCTTGGCAAAAAAGGGCATTTAGTGGAAACAGTCAATTTCCAGTAGTCCAAATATGTACTAGCAGTTGTGGGAGAATAGAAAGGGAGCCTAATTTAACTTTAGACTCTTAACTGAATCAAAACTTCCAAATTCCTGGTAGAAAAACTTAAGTGTCTTACATTGCGTATGATTTAGGTTTTAAATAAAGATTTTGTTAGGTTATAATCTAAAATCATTAGACTTGTCCCCTGACAATTTGTAAGTACCGTATGCTAGGGTGAAAGATCAAGGAAACAGAGCAGAAGTGTTTTGTTAATGCAAGGACATTTCGGGTAATCTATACAAACAGTTGTAAGAAAGACTTGAATTCCACTTTGACATGTAGGCATAACTCACTGATGTTCTTCGGTTTAGAAAAAAGTTGTGCTTTATCTTATAAAAAATTGCTGTTTAGTGTTTCTTTTTTGGTCAAAATATAGGAATTTAACGTGGTTCCTTATTAAACCAGAAAAGGCATTTCAGGTATATAGTAGCTTATATTACTTATGTGTTGAATGTTTTATATTACAAAGATAAATAGTTGATTATAGTTTTAACGGGATATTTTGACAAAACCAGTAGTGCGCATTCTTCTCTCCTTCTTCTTGCCTCCCTCACCCTCTCCACTGCCGCCCCCCACCCCCCCCACCCCCAGCATAACAGGCATGGTTAATAACAAGTCTTGGAAAAAGAAAGAACTTTCTGATCATAACTGACAAGAAGCTTAACTACAATTTTGTGTGCTTGGAAAACTGTTGAAAAAATTTTGGTAAGCACTAAGTGCTTCTCTGGAAGAAATGAGAAGGTGTTATGACGTAGGCTACCAATGGAGCTAGAAGTGATAAGAATACTTTAAGAGAAGGAAGGTCAGTAAGTAGTGTGGGACATGAGAACTGATCTGGGTCTATCCTTTTTCCCTTTTTAGAGGCCTGAAAGGTTTTTAAAATGGCACTGATGCCCTTTATGCCTGGATGCTAAATAAGGAACATACTTATTATTTAAAAAAATTCAGGGGCGGGGCGCCTGGGTGGCTCAGTCGTTAAGCATCTGCCTTGGACTCAGGTCATGATCCCAGGGTCCTGGGATCGAGCCCTGTATTGGGCTCCCTGCTCAGCGGGAAGCCTGCTTCTCCCTCTCCCATTCCCCCTGCTTGTGTTCCCTCTCTCGCTGTCTCTCTCTCTGTCAAAAAATAAATAAAATTAAAAAAAAAATTCAGGGGCACCTAGGTGGCTCAATCATTAAGTGTCTGCCTTGTGCTCGGGTCATGATCCCAGGATTCTGGGATCGAACCCCACATCGGGCTCCCTGCTCCGAGCCTGCTTCTCCTCTCTCTGCTGCTCCCCCTGCTTGTGCTCTCTCGCTTTCTGTCAAATAAATAAATAAAATATTAAAAAAAAAAATTCAGGAGTAGACGAGATCATTGACAAAATTTTTATGAATTTTAGCAAGTGAGTCCAAGTAATAATGTTATTAATGTTGTTATTGAAAAACTTACCTGTTTGCATTTGAAAAGCCAAATGTCAGGCAGGTTGTTCCTATTTTCAACTATATTAAATCAACATTTCTCAGAAGTAGTCTTTAAAATAGATACATAGAAAGAGGGCGCCTGGGTGGCTCAGTCGTTAAGCATCTGCCTTTGGCTCAGGCCATGATCCCAGGGTCCTGGGATCGAGCCCCACATCAGGCTCCCTGCTCAGCAGGAAGCCTGCTTCTCCCTCTCCCTCTGCCCCTGCTTTTGTTCCCTCTCTCGCTGTGTCTTTCTCTGTCAAATAAATAAATCTTTAAAAATTAAAAAAAATAACATAGAAAGATAAAAACTATGGCTATTATTTACTTCTAGTTGTTTCTAGAATGACGAAGTATATTCCTATCTGTAAAATCAGTAAGATATTTTGTAAACATATTAAATTCTTTATTTTCTCAACATTTTGCCTAAATATCTAAAATAGGATCTTTGTCTTAAGCTTATTAACTATGCCCATAACGTAATATTTTTTAACTAGCTGCATTAATATAACTATGTTAGATAAGTGGTATTAATGTGGACTACGGGACTGTGGCCATAGTTTTTTTAGTTGTTGTAACAGCAACATTGAGCCATTTTTATACTGATCAGACATTCTGATAGTATTTGTTAGAAGGCATCTATTTCTACTGTCAGTTACAGTGTATGTACAAATATATTTTGTAATAATTTGCTTTTTTATAGTTCTTTTTCAAAGTATTACCATTTGTATTGGATATAATATGTGTCGCTTCACAATGAAAATTTACTGACTAACTGAAGGGAACTAGCAGTGGGTTTTCTGGTGCACTAATCAAGAAACAGCATTTTTGGACCTTTTCATGTCCTTTGAATAGAGTGAATGTGCACCTTGTGGTTTGTTATTCTGTTTTTACTGCTTCGGGAATTGAGAACTTTTACTTATGTACTTCGTGTTTCGGCAGCTTCAGGCAGGGTAGGAATTTTTAGGTCTATTTTGAAAAAGCTGTGAAGGGAATGTTACATACACACGTGACAAAGGTGTGTGTCAGTTACTGGACCTGCAAGGAGACCTTCGTTTTCTTGGAGAGTAATCATATGCTTCTCTTTATTGTTATTTAAAGTGACCTCCATCCTAACTGATACATCAGTTACTACTGAACCAGAACTACTTCTCAGTTCTGAAGTATAATGGGTACCATATAGTTGACATGCACATAGTGGAGAAAAGCCCAGAAACCGTGCAAGAGCAACTTTCTCATTTTGAAATAAAAATTCACCATACCTCATTTTTCTCCACTGTTAAAACTTTCAGTTCTTACTTTTTACTCCTGGGAGGAAGAGTAGGGATTGTCTTGTGTTGGGCTACTATGAAGATAACTCAAGATCACAAGATTGCACTTTAAATTTCAACAGAATTAATTTGTTACATATCAGCATTATGAAAACTTAAAATTTTGGTATATCTTGCACTTTCAGAAAGTTCCTTTAACAGTTAATATAATCAAATTGCATGTTGATATTTAAATGAAGAAAAAAGTTACTAAAGTAACTAGGACCTAAGTGATACTAGTTAATTACATGGCTTTGGTGTGCACTAGTAACATTTTATGAATATATTTGCTTTAGTTTTGTGGGGAGGAAGTGTCTGATATGCTTTTTAAACTTTATTATAGAAAACTGGAAATATTCACAAAATAGAGTCATATAATGAATCTGCATATATTCATCTTCTTTTCTTACCAGTTTAATATAATGGCCAGTCTTGTTTTATCTACACACTATCCTACAATAGTTCCCTCCTGACCCCCCAGTGATTTTGAAGGAAATCCCAGACATCATGTAATTTCACTGAGAAATATTTCAAGTGTATCTCTAAAAGAGAATCAAATTATTTGTATTCCCTGTGAGTACTAGCTAGTTTTGTTGTGGAGAGGAAGTTCAAGAGTGCTTGGAAACAGGCCTGCTATAGCATTTTATTGTAGTTATTTTGCATTCGGAGAGATCAAGAGTTTATACTACTTGGGTATTTTACCATTACAGTAACTCTCAAAGGATTTGAAACATTGATTTTATAAATAACATCTAAAAATATGAATTATCATCATGAATATATATGGAGTTATGTGACAGTCCTCGTTTCAGAGCTAACCTGCAGTTTGCTTTGTCATTTGCCCCTGGCTCTTCCCTACCCTGCCAAAATTTATGTTTTTTTATTTAAATGCTGAGAAACGGCATATATAACACTTAGTTTCAGATGAAATTCTGTAAGCCTCGGCATGTGTCAGAGAAAGAGATGATAGAACAAGGATGCGTGTGAGCTGAGGAGGAGGAAGGCAGAGGGGTGAACCCTGGGGCCAGGCACCGGTGTGGGCGTGACTCCCCTTGTCTCACTCTTGCTCACCCTGCCTCCTCGCCTGCTCTTGACTTTTTATTTCTTTTCTTGGTTCCCCTTTGGTTCCTGTCTTTTCCTTCTCTTGGCCTTTACTTAATTTTGCCTGTGGCATTCATTGTCAAGAAGATTGCTAACTCCTCCCTTGGAGGATGTTTTATTATGTAGGGGTTGTAAGAGGAAACCTTAAAAAATGAAAGCTTTTAAGACTAATTTGTTGTGCTTTAATTCATTTTTATATAGATTTTATACAGATTTTATTTAAACTAATTCAAATACCAACTATGGGCTAGATTGAACTTTTCTGTACTCTGTGGATGAACCACACAATGTATCAAAAACGTTAATTTTATTGACTTTAAAGTTTACTTTACATGCTGTTATTGAAAAGATATATAATAATAATTTTTCCTTTTTTTGTTGTCTTTTGCTTCCCATTTATTGGATGAAACTGATCCTGATATTCAAATATGACTCTGCAGTTCACAAGGTTCCTTTGCAGCTCACCTCTGGAGGTAAGAGTTTACTCCCTGACCTTAATACTAGGATCACTAATTGGACATCACTATTGGTATGTTTTGTTGGTAAATTAGAGGTGATCATTTTGTTTTAACACATACTCTTCAATAATGGTAATGAGATGAATACAGACTTTGTTTAGAATAAGAATTCCTGTTAAGTTATAAAACTGCTCACCTTCATAACAGGTCATTGCTTCTTTTTATGAACATTTTCTTTTTTTTTTTAAGTAAACTGAAATCAGTCTTGCATTGTAAAGAGCCTTACTGTATCTGCTTCCTTCTTAACTGTTGACACTAGCCTTATTCTGTCTTAACTGCCCTGGCTGTTAACCGGTAACCAAGAGCTGCAGGAGTCAAGGGGTGGGGGGGATGTTGTCAGGCAAGTTTCTGTTGGTTTGAGAGCGCTTTTTCAAACCCCTGAGTTGATGAGGGAAGAGCAAAGGACTTACCTGTTACTGAGCTTTTCTTAAACACAGGCATGCTCCCTTCCTCTGTCTCCCTCTCCGCCCCCTTCTCCCTCCCTCTCTCCCCGCTCCTCTCCCCTCCCCCTCTCTCAGTGCTTCATTCACTTCCACCTTGAGTCCTTATAATGGTTCTGCGGGGTAGAGCTGAGACTCCCGGTGATAACACTGTGAGATAAAGATATTTAGGAAAGCAGCTGACCTGTGAGTTGACACAAGATGGGTGAGGCTTTGAGGAAGGAGGAGGAAAGAGGAGGCTGCGGAGTAGAGATGCTTGCACTCAGAACCAAAGCTGGTTTTCAGAGCATGCCTTCCCTTACTGGTCACACTGGGCAAATCCCAACTTCCCTGAGTCTGGGTTTTCTTATCTTTAAAATGCAAATGATAATTCCTACCTTTCCGATGAAGCAGTGGACATGGCAGCGTTTTTAAAGTGCTACTCAGGGGCAGCTGGGTGGCTCAGGCTCAGGTCTTGATCCCAGGGTCATGAGTTCAAGTGAGTTCAATAAATAAAGTGCTACTCAAACCTTAGTGATATTGTGTATTTTCCTCTTGGGTTGTACTGCAGCCCCACACAATAAGACACTGTTCTCTGCCTTTCCCTTGTTCTTCCTTTCGCTTCTGTTTATTGCACTTTATGTTCCCTTCCCCCATTCCCAGCTTGTTCAAATACTGTCCCTCTTCAGGTTGAGCCTCCAGGTTTTGCCCACTGCCTGGCCCTCCGGCACCTCTCCATATAGAGGCAGTGTTCCCTGTTCTGCTTCGGTAACACCGTGTTCATGAAATTACTGGAACGTTGTGGGTGTGTGGTGTAGCCCAGCCTAGCACATTAAATACTCTTAGAGACCAGTTTGATGATTGCCAGGGGAAACTGATGAGGCCACAGAGTACCATCCAAGTTTGGTCACATTTTCTAAATATCCAGGATCAAGGGGGAAACAAAGCTATGTTTGGACAGAGTCTGGGCTTTGAAATGTCAGAGGCTTGGTTGGCCTATGAGCAAGTCATTTCATCTTTTGGTTAATCTAAAGATGGAAATGGTAATACTTTATGGTTATTAAAATGAAATAGTGTGTGGCAAACACTGAACACAATGCCTGTCACATAGAATTTTAAATAAAGTTTAGGGCGAAAACAATAAAAGCAAACCATAAGAAATTTGAAGACAGTATAAATTATACAATTTACTCTTCAGTTGATGAAGCTTTTTTTTTTTTTTAAGATTTTATTTATTTGAGAGAAAGAGAGCACGTGAGAGCGGGGAGGGTCAGAGGGAGAGGCAGACTCCCCGCTGAGCAGGGAGCCCGGATGCGGGACTGGAGCCCGATGCGGGACTCGATCCTGGGACTCCAGGATCATGACCTGAGCCGAAGGCAGTTGCTTAACCAACTGAGCCACCCAGGTGCCCTGATGAAGCATTTTTTAAGCATAGCAGAATGGGAAGTACCACAAAGGAAAGGATGGAAAAATTTGCTTCTGTTAAAAATCCTTACTTTTGTTCATGAAAACATATATAGTTAAAAGGCAGTTTGGGGAAAGTGTGATAACAAGGTTATTATACTTAATGATCTCCTGGAATCAATTTTAAAATGTACTATTTTCTTTCCCATAATTTTTGGTTGGATTTTATGAGATAGTGTGGTGAAATACAAATGATAATAAATGTTTTAAGAGTTTAACCTTGTAAGTAATCAAAGAAGTGTAGTTTAAAAGAACAGTGATAAATGCTTGCTTACCTATTTAGAACTTTTTTTTTTTTTTTTTTAATGAATGCTTAGGATGATATGGTGGGATGGGATGTTTTTAAACTTTATCCTATACAGAAATCAGTTTGGTCATCTACATTAAACACCCTATATAAATTCATACTTGTGGGTTGTGTGCCTGAGTAATTCTAGTCTAAGAATCACTGCCAGAGAAATAATTAGAAGTGAGGACAAAACTTGCCTAAATGTTTATTACAGCTTTATTTATTTATTTGTTTATTTTTAAGATTTTTTTTTTTTCAATTTATTCATTTGAGAGAGAGAGAGAGCACAAGCAGGGGAAGGGCAGAGGGAGAGGGAGAAGCAGGCTCCCTGCTGAGCTGGGAGCCTAACATGGGGCTTGATCCCAGGACCTGGAGATCGTGACCTGAGCCGAAGGCAGACACTTAACCATCTGAGCCACCCAGGTGCCCTAACAGCATTATTTATAATGGCAAAAGATTTATAAACAGTCTAAGTGTCCAACAGTAGGAGGAGTAAATAATGGTATAGACAGCCATATTATGGATAGAACACTCTACAGCCATTAAAATGGGGATTATGCATATACATGTTCATGAGTATGTGCTCATGAACAAAACAGTGAAAGAAGTAGGACGCAAGATTATACATGCAGATCTCAGTTTAAAAATAATTTAAGCATACAGAAAGTAGTTAAGAAGATACACAAGATGTTAAATTGTTTCACCCTTTGCTCTTCCATGAAGGAGCCACAATGGAGAGAAGAGATACCTTGGTAGGTTTTTAGTGGTGACTTTTGTAGTGTTTGGAAAGTACATCAGGCAAGTCTCTGACTGATGTGCAAACAGGGTCTAGTCTTGGGAGAAAAAGGTGAGTGGGGAGAAATTGCAGGAGCTTAGGTGAAGAGAATGCCGATAAGGTTTAAGGCTGAACTCTGATTTCAGCAAGAGCTTCGAGGAGTAATCAGGAAGAATGGTTTTGAGCAGAAGACATTTAGGCTGGATTGGCTTACCTGGACATGGAGTGAATAAGGAGGCTGGCTCTTGATGTCCCACTGAGCTACTGGGGCAGTGTTAACAATGGCAAAGATCCTTCTAAATAGACCTCACTAATAGATTTTTCTCAGATGTAAGCCCAGTGAGAGAGGACCCTGTTTTTCTTGCTTGGGTTTCTGATCTTAGTATAGTAAATAGTACAGGGGAGGCACTGGATGAATATTTGTTAACGGTTGGATGAGTGAGTAAGCTAGGTGGGGCTGAGGCTGCAAGTAACAGGACTTTACCCATAATCTGGCAGTGGTCAGCTAAAAACACACAAGGCCTAACATGTATGTTTCAATATGGTTAACAGTCTTCCTAGCAAGATTGTAGCTACTTAAGGTCAGGATCTTTGTCTTTTTTCATCTTTGGATGCTCTCAGGTATAGATAGGACTTGGAGTTTACCAACTGTACAGCTAGAGTTGTACCAAACAAATATTTTTTTAATTATATCTGGCTAAATATTGAGAATCTACATGCAGAAGCTTTAATCTTTGATGAAAAGTAGAGGGAAAGTATGATCAAGTTTTAGTAATAGTTTCTGTCATTTTCTGTCTGATCTGCTTTTTCCACTTCATGATCCGGAGTTGTGTTTTACCTTGTTTAAATCTCTTTTCTTACTGAGTTTATGGACATGGGAAAAGGAAAAAAAAATCAAAATTAGAGATGACCAATGTGCTTTTGTTTGCTTGAAGTATTTGGGAAATACCTTGAGGGCTTTCTGTTGAAATTTTTCTAGTCTGGAATTTTGTGGGGGCTGCCTGATGGCATAGTTAGTGGCTGCTATCCCCCAAATTTCCAACAGCACTGAGCTCAGGATTCTGTTCCTTTGCCACCTCCTTTGCCTGTGAGCCAAAGCAAAGCCAAAGTAGGAGAGTGTTAGGAGTCCCAAATGTTTAATTTTGCCATTGAGCTTATGTTTTAGCTGGAGAAGGAAACTTACAATATGATAAATACCCAAACACCTGCCCTAATTCTGATTAAAAGAAAAATAATTCGGGGTGCCTGGGTGGCTCAGGCGTTAAGCGTCTGCCTTCGGCTCAGGTCATGATCCCAGGGTCCTGGGATCGAGCCCCGCATCGGGCTCCCTGCT